TTTTTTTTTTTTTCGGTACAACACAAATATGAACATTAACACAAATAAAAACTGTATGAACATAAGCATAACTCATTAAAACCATTGTATACTTATTGTAGCATGCTATTTTTATTAGTAACTTCACAATTGAAGTATTGAAATTTAATGAAATTGCCAGTAGATTATTCAGGTGGATATATTGAAACGGACCAAATTTAGGAAAAAGCTATCATCCCGTCACGGAATCATTCCGGTTGAGTTTTTAGCCAGTGAATATCTACAATAACTAACTTTTATGTATATCCCAAGGTTAAAAACTGTCGCGGAATGATCATGTGACCACGGGATGGTAGATTTCTCCCAAAATTTAATGAATTTAAACAACTTAGTGAATGATGGTGGAGAAATCAGAATATAATAATTTCTGCAAATTGGTCAATTAAATTGCAAAATCTTTTGAAATTTAGCAAACAAGAGACCAAAATAATAATAATAATTAAAAAAAAAGATTACTGATCAAATGCTTAACAATATATAATATATATATATATATATTATATATATGTATAACAGTAAGTACCTGGAAAGGTTGGGGATTATTATTAATAAGCGACTGGTGAATCAAAGCTCCCATATTTACAGACAGTAAATTGGCACAGTGACCACATCTAACCGTCGCCATGCTCAAGTTCAACACACCGCATGGTACACCAACCTAATCATCATCATCATCACCACCACCAATTTAATTAATTAACACAATATTAATTATAAATAATTAACATTTTAATAATAAAATAGAAAAATGCTACAATCACTCACGGAATAATTTCGGGACGGGATTATAGTATTTTCCAATAAAAAATAGTACTTATAAATAGACTTAATTGTCACATTCTTCCTAATTTTCTTAGCTGAAAACCCTAGACACCAACAAAACCTAGTAGTCCTTTTTTCATTTCTCCTCTTTTTTCGTCCCAATTACATTAATGTGAAAAGAAAAGGTCTGAGAATGTACAAATTCAACCAGGCCAATTCTTCAAAATCAGGCTTTACTTAATTAATTAATATAGCCATTAAAGGGTTTTTTTTAGTAACCAGCCAAGAGCTATGCTTCGACTAATCCGTTGGTCGACCTGAGTCGCACACGTGGTATTGGTGGGTGTCTCTCAACAAGAATTTTCTGCATCCACAAAATCTCAAACTCGAGACCCTGTTTAAACAACATCAATTTCCTAACCACTTGAGAAAAGGCTTTTTAATTACAATACCCTTTTTTTCGTGGTGTGCTAAAAACAAAGTGCCTCTCACTTTAATCACTGTTGGCATCATCAGTGTGTGTTTGTATGTGTGTGTGTGTGAGAGAGAGAGAGAGAAAGAAGGAGTGATAAGGACGTGTCTGAACAGAAATCATTCAAAGACCATAATTAGAATGGAATCATGAATTCAATTACAGCCCACTTTTTACAGACTGTAAAACAATGTTGAGGCTAGACATGGCCACG